GACAGCGGGCAGGGCAGGGGCTCCGCCGCGCTTGCTCATGGCCCTGCTTCCCTCTCTTACCATCTCACGTTATTTTTTCATCCCGATTTCCCAGTTTATAGGTGTCATTTGGGTTGCTAATACCGTGCAGTGTGTAACTAGAGTTAGTAAGGAAGCAAATGAAACACAAAACCTGCTTGGGAGGGATTTCGTGGCTTTTACACGGGGCTTTCAAGAAACTGATAAACTTCAGAGCTGTACAAGGGCCTCCGTAGCTCAGTGAGCACATGCTTGTATAACTATATAAGTGATTGGGTCTTTCGTGTTTATTTAAGAAAATTGCGGGTGAAAAATGGAATTTAAATGGGAGAAGAATACTGAGAATGAGCAATCCTGTTCATGGAAGGGAGGGCAGTTAAGGGGAGTGTAAGTGATGGGATGCACTGGCTGTTCTGCCCCTGGGAGCGCCTCCGCGCAGTGCCAAGGGCTCCTCTGTCGGCGTGTAACACGCTGTACTTACCCACTGTGCTGTGTTGGGTACTGGCACACGTTACCAGTCACAGAGTTTAGTTTTTCTCTTTGCCTAACACTCCTTCCCATTCTGCAAATGAGAGAAAGCCTGTAAATAGTGACTTATGTAAGGACTTTGCTTTTCACTCTGCAGCTGATCTGCCCTCACTGCTCCAAAGCTCGTTAATTAGGGCAGCTGCTTTGGTGGTGGATTAGTCGCTCTCAGTAGGTCTGTGGAGTTAAAACTCGGTCATTGTCCTTCTCCACCTCGTTATGCTGCCACTATGCTCTACCCCTGAAAAAAAACATCTCTGGAATTACTTAGGGATCGGTGAAACAAAAGAGCTATTTAGTCTTTTGGCATCTTGGCCTCTTCAAGGAGAGAAGAGAAAGGGAGTGCAGTATAATGGAACTGGAAAAGCAAGTGCTTTATTTACGGGAATAAATAATCTCTGTTATTGTGTGGGGTTGATAACCTGATGATGAATCAGCAGCAGCTTGAAAGTGAACATCACTAATGTTGCTTACATGTAGCATAAGAAAAAAGAGAGAGCAGGGTAGGAAAGGAGCTGGTTTAAAACGGGTACTGTGTGCTTACCATCAGGGCAACTGAAAATTCTCCCCGTCTGTTCTCTCCTCGAGGCTGCATTGCAAACAGCACCACCCAAATTCACTGGAGGGCAGGGACGAAACAACACTTACCTTTTCGGTGCTGTTCTTATGGTTTCGTGTGATAATGTGTGATAATTCTGTGTACACCTTGGGAATCCAGACTACTTGAACATAAACGGTGGAGGTGGTTAATGAGGAGTGTCTAGGAGAACGCTGCATTTTTTTTTCTGTGTTTTGTTTACACGTATGCTTGGACTGGTGACATCTTGCTGGCCTTTTTTCCCCACATTCTTTTAGTTTGAATATTTTTTTTTTTCAGGACTTCAGTCTAGTGTCCTGTGATCACAAAAAGTGATTTGTGAAGAACAGGCAACTGATATAAAAAGGACAAACAGGCTAAAAGGAAATACATTTTTAGGTGAACGTGGATTCTATTTTACAATGAGTTTTAGATGTTTTATTTTTAATTACCCACCTCTGAAGTTATTTCTACATTGGCATGTGTTGAAGCCCATCACTGGAACAGTTCTGTAGTGTTCATTTCAGTCTCTGGTGCTGAACAGTTGGCTAAACTGTGGTGTTGGTATTGTGAGGAAGACTGCTTTCAGCTAATCCTGTCTGAGGCAGTAATTCAGGAGGAAGCAAACTACATCAGCAGAGCAGTCAGCAATCTTTTCTTGAAAATAGAAGAAGGTGTATTTTGCCATTTGTTGCCAGACAGACTGATTCCTTTCCAAAGCAGTATTACTGGAAGAGTTTGAATCTTCAGCTTTTGACTAATAGCACCTAAGGCAATTTGGTAGGAGAAAGTTATGCTCATTTTACTTTCAGACAGGTAGAATGGAGTCCTCTCACCAGGGTAAGCCAAAAAAGCTACTGGGGAGAAATCAGCCTAGAGAGGGGATCCACTGCCTGTATCTACCTGAGCAAGAGGTGCAGTGTGACAGAAGGAGATCTGGAGAGTGCTGAGGACCCAGCTTTTGTGCTGGGTTTGTCTCCTTTGGGTTTTTGCGTTACAGCAGTAGCTTGGGCCTTTGATCTGAAAGCTCTTTTTTTATTAGAGTGCCTCTTCTGCTTTAGTTTCATCTGAAAGGAATCCAGTTCGGTGTATGCTGGTCATTTTTGGATAAGCTGATTCTGTGGTTTTAGTCTGTAGTTTGAAAGAGACAGCCAGTTCCCACACTGGCCAATTTCACCTTAGGCTGTAAAATTCTGTATAGTTTAACGTTTCATCTGTTAGGAGATCCAGATAGGAAATATATCTATTTTACTGGTCAAACATTGGGGTTAAAAAAAGAGAAGTGAGGAAATGGAGTTCTGGAGTCTTCATTTCGGTAGCTGCTCTTTGAACCAGTAGATTGCTGTCACTCACTAAGGTGTCTCGCAGTGTCCTGGCCAGACTGCTGGGTAGCAAGTTCATGCACCTCACAGCTTAGTGTGGTTCATGAACTCAGGAACAGCTGTGGACAACTGCACTCCTTCTCATTTGTCTGCAAACACGTGGAGGTATTTAAATGATAGCTGTTTTGTAATTCACATGCTTACTAGACTTTTTTCATCGATGTATGGAGTCTTGCAGGGTCCGAAGTGCTGCTCTTGCCCTTTGTGGGTCATTCTACCTCAAGCTGTTCAGCGTGAGACTTCATGAAATTAAGATAATCTGGACTGCTGTTGCTGAACACAAGGATTACTAATGATGTTGGTGATTCTACATCATAAAAAGGTTGAAAGATTAATAAACAATAACATGTAGAATCTCTTCAATTTCACCAACAGTTCTGTATGTTAAATACAAAATGCGTGTTAGGAAATTAAAAGATTTAGGAGCATTTTACTGATTTTGTAGTTGTAGAAATAACTTATGTTTGTGCCTGTGACTTCTCTGCAGACTTGGGATTAATAAGAATTAAAGTTTAGATTTTGATATTTCTTTGCCTTGATAACTGATACTTGTAAAGCTTGGAAATGATTGCCGAAAACAACACCGAGTTCTGATGGCACGTAGAAACCGCAACCTCATCTGACACAGTTTGTCTCTTGTGGCTGTAGTGATAATACTTGGATGTTCTGTGAAGGGTTTGTTGCCAGCCGCTGAGGTTAAGTTGTACCTTGCTAAATTGGCTGTGCCAGCTGACCTCGGCGCAGCGGTCAGTAAGTTCTGTCTGACTGGTAATTCATGGAAGTGGGCAGAACGCCCCTGTGGATTGTCCTTGCCAGCTCACTTCACCTTTATTTCAGAACATGCACCCCGCTGTCTTCTCATCCTGTTACGCAAATTCTCTCTTCTTACGCTTGGCCTTTAGGAGAAGTTCACGGCTCTTGCGCGTCTTCTGTGCTGACGTGACGCCGTTGAGCAGACGTGCGTTCACAGGAAAAATGACTTCCTAAAGGTTAATTACAGAAAGAAGGAAGTAATACATTTGGGATGTAGCAGTGTCCCAGACTTCATTCGTTTCTAAACTAATCTGTGCCTTATTTATATAGTAGATTAATCACTGCTTCTTTGCCTTTGTGGTAATGAAAGTAATCCTTTCTATCTCCTTTTCTGAGAGACTGTTCTACTTTTTTTCAAGGACTTGGGTGATTCAGAATCGTCACTAATGTAACACTTTGGAAATAGGAGTGAGGGATACGAATGTGTTCTCCTTGCAGAGCTGCCAGGAGCATGTCATGTAGTGCTTGATCCCTGTCTCGAGTCTTACTGGTCTGGAATCAAACCCCTTGCAGGAAGCTCTGTTTCACAAAGCAGCATCTGCATTTATGAGACTGTGGACAACATGAATTCTTAAGAACAAATTTCCAGGAATTCAACAAAGAGATCTGGGGTTGAGGATTCTAGACTCTCTTGACTGAGAATATCAAAAGGAGTTTGGTTGCTTTTTTAAGCACTTTGGGGGGGGGAAAAATAGGCCACTGTGTTGTAGG